GAAACACGACAAGGAGAGAAAGTCCAAACAGAGATAACGAGATTTTTAGACAAATACTTTGTTATCTGTTTCTACGTGCCGCGAACATGCAACATCCGTTTATATCGAACATGCATATCGTTAAATAATTCTAAAGGCCTTGGAACTGACTCGGCTGCGACTCTTCCTTAATTTATCGACTTTTGCAAACATCGATGCAACATTTATGTTTACCATTTCTGAGGAAATCGTGCTAGGAGCGCCGGCATTTATACGAATAGCCGGATCGAGTTCCAAGCGAGATAAACAATTTTAAAAAACAGACAGAATAATCAGAATAAATAAAATATTACTAACGTCGTGAACTTCAAAAGTAATTGAAGAACTTTTTTAAATCCTCGTATCAGTTTTAAGTTCATCTAAAGAGTCTTATTGCTTTTTCGGAGAAGCGTTAGGATTTTATTTTCCACGCTGGAAATGCGTCTCTATAATTTTCCCGTTCGAAGTCCACGGTTCGGCCAATTATTATTACTGGACGAACAGCGAATACAATAATAAGTTGCGAGAACTTCTTTTGTTAGAATTAGAAAAACCTTTTTACGTCAGACAGAGCGTGATATTTGTTTTGTTCTCGATAAGCAGAAGCGATTAAAAATTCATTTTCTTGAAATTCATCTTCATCGCTGTGCACCGTTTCATCAATTTTTTGCCCTTATAACGTCAACAGTGTTTGTTGCAGACGTGTCGCAAATAAGTAGGAAGTAAACGCGTCAATGCGCTTTCGTATTAATAAATCTGCAAACAATTGACGTGTTAATTGATTATTATTGCTTTCAATCGATTCAAAGGTGAAGTCTTTTTTTCAAAATTCTTGAGAAGGTCAGCTGCAAAAGTCCAGATGCTAATGAATCTTCAGCTTGTGGAATCTTATCTTATACTTCTACAATCGTATATCATCATACATCACGTCTCTCATTTCCTTCTTTCGTTTCAAGTGAAAAATTCCGCTGATTTTGTTTTCGTAGCATTGATCGAAGGATACGGAAAAACAAATTTATAGTCAGGATACTTCAAAATGCAGTAGATCAATGTCACGCAAAAAATTCATTATATTTAAGACTATGGGACTGATTGAATAACGTTATTAAAAGAAGTAGAAAAAAAGAAAGAAAAATAGGACGAAGTGGACGGTGTTAAGGTTCGTATTTGCGTGACATGTCCGTCTCTCGACGTCAGCGTACGGAAACAATTTATCGGAACAGAATGCGAACACGTCGCCGCGACTCACATTAGCTTTTGATTTTAATTAGTTTACGTCTATGCGTTCGTATACGCATTTACCTGTTTTGCTGTAACAGCACGTGTGCCGATCTTGGGTGCCTAATCAATGACACATTATTAGCTATGCATATGGAGCAGACAACATGTTCCAGTTTTTTCTTCGGACGAGTCCTGTCAGTATATTTTACAAACAAGACTGAAAAAAATGTTACGCAAAGGTACGTAATCCGAAAGTACGTATTGTGACACACTTTGAAAAGAAAAATCTGCAACGCTGTGTACGAATATAGAAAGATAGATATTTATATCTGTATGAACGGATTTCGATCGGCACCTCAATAATAGGTATAAATAGATAAAACGTCGAATAAGCCTGACCTTAAACTTAATGAATCTTCTCGTTAACATATAAATCGAGCAATAAATTCGTTTTTTGTCAGTCTACAGGGAGATACCCTTGGTCCACGAAAAATGCATAATGCACACATTGGCTCGTTGATGTTAATCATCTCGACGTTACATTAATTCCAAACAGTGCGAGAGCTTCGAAAAAAATCAATTATCCGCGTGCGTAATAGAATATCAATAATTTACAATTAATATCAGACATCCTCGTTTTTCTAACGACCACAATGTCATTTACATCGTATCAATATCATTAACAGTATCCTTATTAGTATTATGTAACTTTATTCAGTTTTTTGTTCATTCAGTTTTAACTGAAATTGTTCAACGAAAGAAGTTCCGGCGACGGTTGAAAAAAATTGCATATGCGATTGATGCGCAATGTCATGACGGCAATTCAACTTTTTGCACTTAACGTAACGCGTGTCACATCGAGCATCTATTTATGCAATGGATTTTAAAAGAAAGAATAAGTTAAGACGCCGCTGATAGACCGCGTCCATAACGCTTCGTGTAATAGCAGATGTAACAACAGTAATCCGATACTTAGCTCCGAGATTCGTATTCTATCAATCTCCGGTAAATTATAAATTGTGAATATCAATTCCTCAAAATATCGGTGATCAAACGATTAATCGCTGATATCGGCATGTTCTTGTCGAATCAGCAGTCATACTGTCCGGTGAACAGCTCAAAAGGTCTCACGTCTGTAAATTACGTATCCCGAAGTTTCATAATACATACTTAAACTGCTCCAATATTTTTTCTCGGTTCAATTAAATTCATCTTTTTGCTAAAGTACGTCAGTGTTACGCGCTTCTGTTATTATTAATTGAAAGGTAAGGAAGTGATTCAGCTGGTAATCTCATAATCGAAGAATACGTTTTTTAAATTTTGATTCACTATTCGTCAAATATCTTGCATTCCGGTTAAAGAATCCCCGGTTCTCAGGGCTAGAGAACTATTATCTTGTCCCTGTTGAGAGATGTAACGGTTCCATTGCATGTCGACGAACAGTTCCACTTTTCTTCTTTGCATAATGACACCAATCATATTGCATTCCTCTGTCTATTTATTCTCTACATTTCATTAGTTTTTACACAGTACAAGTAAACAGTATCGTCACTGTAATTAACCTGATTTTTGATTACAAATGTAATTTTAGTCTCCGCACTATTATTTCCAATGACTGACATTGTTTTCTGTTATTTGTCTTCAGTGGATCGGAGTAATAGTAGTTTCCCGTAAAAAATTTGTTACATATTCCTGAAATACCTCACGTCTGTCTTCACACGTGTTCGATCAATCGTGATAATACGAAAGGAATTTTCAGAACGTCTACGTGTTCTTATCTGAGCCCGAGATGAATGAATCGTAATCGAATCATCAGATCTGTTTGTGTCCGTTCAACACGTAAACGTGAATGAAAGAACATCAAACAGTAAGATGCAGATGATGTAAAAGACAAAATTCTTTCGAAACGGGGAATTCGTATGCTAAACCGATTAACAGATTTTTTTTTCGAATCACCGCTTTCTATATTTCGTGTGTGCATGCTAAAAATTTGGCATTTTCGGTCCACAGTTACATCAAAATTCCTGAATTAAATAACGCTCACGGTAGTGTCATAAATATACCGATAATTATTTTTAATTGCAATGAATATAAAGTTAACGATTTGCAATTTTGTAATATTCTTGGGATCTCAGGTTCGTGGATCTGTGAGAGGAGGGAATAGAATTTTTCTCAAATCGTCTATTGTTCATCGATGATAAAATTTGATCAAGTTATGCAACACGATGCGACATTTTGTATATCATAAAGAGAGAAATGTTTGTTGCTTACTTTCTCAGATGCGGAACCGATGCGTATGTGAGTAAACACTAAGTACTCGTGCTAACGAGTAGTGAAAGTGCTACTAGTTTTCGTAGTACGCGCGGGGTTTTAATTCCGTTTTAAATTGCTCGCCCGGGATTTCGTCCATTCGTACGACCTTTAACCCGGTTATTACCGAGCACGCCGAAAACAAGAACTTTCATCTCTCACGTAGGAACCGTTTCTACTTTCCATCATTTTTTATATCTATACAGAAGTTGTACTCGTTCCATTCGGAGTGTATTTCCTCTAAAGAAAATCCAAGTGCGTTGAGAGTACAAAAACTGGCTACCCCTATTGTTGGTTCAAAGTTCTCGCTTGTTACGTCTTTAGCGTGACTCTTATATTCGTGGCTAATTACTTTTCATTCACTGTCGGGGTTCTACTTGCTCGTAAAATTTTACACCGCGTTACTCCTTTATCTCATGTTTCTCAACACGTAATTCTATTCAAACACGGACTGACGAATGCATCTCGTTTCATTCAGAAGACCGGACCATGAAATTACATTTTTAATTGGCGTTTCAACGATAAATCACGGACTGAAGTGTCTGGACAAATTTCAGATTAAAATATAGAAATTAATTGTAAATGAAGGCGTTCGAATTACTGGCGGTAGCAATTTATGTAAATCCTACTAGGCACAGCTGTAACGTTGTACAGCGTATTTAGACGATCGAAATGTTTGTTACTGCGCCCGGGATTTATTGCAGTTTTAATATCAGAAGAAGCAACTGGCCAATTGGGTAATCCCCGATGACAGTGATGACGTAATCGAAGGAGAATCGGCGGACGCCCAACACAGTTATGTAACATAAAGGATAAACAACTCTTTTCTTTTTAAATGAAAGTTACATGGGCAGACGCATCGCTATGTCGCTCATAACATTTAATTGCACGTCGGTTTTGCAGGTTTTAATCCACCATACTTACACTTCGACAATCGTTCAGCTTTCTCACGAGACAAACAACGGTTCGCGAATATTTAAGTGTCTTTACTTACATGATTTTATAAAAAAATGACAGGATTATGAAATGAACGAATTTTATGAATGTTCTGTGAATGATTGAATCTCATTTGATATTACCAGACTCAGGAATGATGTATGAGAAAATCTAAATCCTACGAATATTCTGTTTACATTATTTTGTAATCTTAATATTCGGTAAATTGAATGAATCGCAATGATAGTTATTTGCACGAAGTGGACGTACCGAATTTCGATAATGCTTGCGGTTGTTCAATAAAATGTATTCGGTCGCTTAGAATGACTTCAGGTCTCTAAGTCTATTGCGATTTAAAATCATGATCCATCAATTTATTGAACTTTAGGAATGAGCGGAACGAAATATCCGATGATATCTGACTTTATCATGCTATTAATTTAATAACTGTTCCGCGATGCCGGTTTTAAATATTATTAATTTTTATTTATCATAATTTGTCGTTTTGATTTCAGAAAACGACTGGCAAAGCGTAACGGAGTGCGAACAAACGAAAATCGTTGGAGATCGTCGAGCTTGAAAACCGAGAGTGGTGTCCTCGTAATTGGAAAAGTGTGACAAGGAGGCGAATCGAACAAAAACGAGAAAGGAAAATCGGAATCGCGAGGGAAGACAAGAAACGATGTACGCTGACAGTGTTTTAAGAACAGATCGTGATTGCTCATGGAAACAATGCTCGGAGAAGTGACGTGAGATAAGGCATACCTCTCGAACGTAACGCATTGTGGATCAACCGTGACGAAATTCGAAACGGTGGCGTCTCCGCGAGAAAAAATAAACAGAGCACGAATCGACCAATTAGCTTAATTATCGCGGACCGTGGTATCGCATCCGCGATCTCGTCTCCTTTCGCTACCGATACCGCATCCTGTAAGGATAACGCTGTGCTCGAGAAACATTGTACGCGATCGCAAAGTCGATTCGCATACCAGTGTCGAACGAGTCGAGGGGGAAAAAGAAAATTTCTGTGATTTCCTTTCGTGAAGTTTCATCGGGAACCTCAAGATGAAGTTCATAGGGTCTTTGTTCGGGATCCGGTCGCCCAAGAAGATGGGCAAGCAGTACATGAAGGTCGGAAGAAACGCTCTCTTCGGGCCGCGAACCAATCAGCACGACAGCCTCTGCACGGACAAGGTTCCCAGGCCTCTGTCCTTCCTCATATCTAAGAACGGGAAACTAAGGCACGGTAAGATAGCCCGCGATGCTTTACTTTTACAATCTACCCTGTTACATCCTGATTCGACGTTTTAACGCACCGACACACCGTCTGAAACCATTAACGTCTAAACGTCGTAACGTGCGAAAGCGTGGCCACGGATTAAGAAACAGAAATATGATTCGAATTTTCTCGCTCTTCAAATCTAATAGCGAATTCGCTTCGCGTGTTTCGTATTTTCTAATAAATTTTCAAGGAAACTATTAGCATGCAAGTCGTTCTTCCTGTGAAGATGTATAACAGACTAGAGAGTTTCCTCGTTTCCACTTCGAAATCAGGAAGAAATTCTTACCTCCACCAGAGAAACTTGAATTATCATAAGAAGTTCTTGTTTTCTCCATTAGGAGGTATGCCTGTCTGGTTTTCGAAGCAAGCGTACGTTCAATGAACGTACTGACGGCACAACGCCACTCGCGTGAACTTAAATCGTATCGTACACGACTCTGTTATCTGGCGTTTCCCACATGACGCCACAGCCACGTGAATGAGAAGATTAAACAACGAGAGAGCAAACAGTATTCCAGAAATTATTGAATAATTTCAAGTTATTTGAGAATTTAATTAGAAATCAATTTACTGAATCAACATCGTATTTCAATTAAAAACGTATCTCTTTCATTTAAGGCTGGCAAACTATCGGTTTGTTCAGAAGAAAAAGTATATACTTGACCATATAGAAACTGTTAAACCAGCTGTATGCAAATGCATGGCAATGTGTAATCGAAGTTCGCCAGAACCTTTCTGCTTTTTCAAACTTTCCACGATGACTCTGATTCAATGAGCTCAGAGAGTTTCTCTCGATTCGACTGAAAATTCCCAAAGAGAATGGCGATAACTAGGCGCGAGTCGTTCGTGTACCGGTTAAGGCCAGCGATAGTTGAGCATAATCGGAATGATGCGCAACTGACGACAGCGGGGCAACTTGCTCGTTCTACTAGCCTACTGCACTCTGACCGCCGTTAGCCATTAGATGCGACTCGTTGACATGCTATTGTTGAATCGGCATGCGTGCCGCATTTTCCCTTTTGCCACTGGCTTTGCACCATCTGTTTTAAAGAAACGCCGAGTGTACCAGTCACGGCAAGTGCAAACGGGTTTAGCTTCGCTTTCTTAGAAGCTAGCGTCTTTCCGATGACGACTATCTTGTTTTATCATCTAGTTTGATAACCGGGAAAGTAAAAACTCGCATCTCACTGCTCAAATTGACATTTAGAGCACGTTACTCGTCATTATCGAGGTATCTTTAATATTGGCATTCGACCGACTGTTAATATGCACGTTTGTTCTTATGCTCGAAGTGAATTGCAGTTAAATGAAAATATAGAGATATCCGCGGCAGCGAGTAAAAGTTTAATGACTCAGAAGAACGTGGCTTTCGATCTTACACTTATTGGAATTCTTGCACGTTTTTCCCCGCGTAATCGTACATCTCGAGCGCGCTACGCTGATTTCAGCTACGCATTTCTCCAATATTATCGGAAATGATTTATGAACAATTGGAGCACGATCAAGTCAATCTTATAATGAGAATAAAATCGACCTATTCAGAAAATTATTGATTAACTATTGATAAGAGTTTGTACTGATTTAATTTTGAACCAGCCTAATTGTTTATGAATGACGCAGCTCATTTCGAAGGCGAAGTGAGATACTATTGAAAGAGAGCACAATCTGCATTGATTTAAGATTCAGATAAGTTCATTTAACAGTCTTGTCATTTTTGTCTCTGAACAGAACAGTCACGTGTAATTATAAATTGAAGAACAAGTTGGAATAAATAAGATAACAATAAAGATGTAATTGAACTTTCGTTCTATTCATTTTTCAACTGTTTTATGTTGTTGTATGGTACTAGTACAGTACGATGTTTCATAGAGTATGACGAAGTATTACACATTACCTTGACTTAATACACACCACGATTTTACAGTTAGTCATGGCCACTCATATCCGTAAGCTAATGATGCTTTCGACGAAATATTCCAATCGAGTTGCAAAATGTTGTCCGACGTTGCCTAATATTTACGGCCGTGGTATAATATCGTACACCTGCGTACGTTTTCCGCGTTTCACACGCTGCGTTACGTTGCGAAAATCTTTTTTAAAAAATCTTTCTCCTGTCTAAAACTCATTCTGGAAAAGTTTAATTGGATAAAATTTGAATAGGAAATTATTTCCTGTTTGTTAGTAAATTAAAGATTTCCTGTATTATCAAGGAACATTTATAAAATTGGAGGATGAGTAAGAATCTAAAGTTGAATGCAAAAAATTCGATCAATGATACGGTCTTCCTTGAGTAATTATGGAGGATTCATCTTTTTAATCAATTAAAAACAGATGTAACTAATTGAACATCACAATTGCTTCCTTTTACGAGATTCTTTGAACTACATTGAAAGAGAGAGAGGCTTTAAGCGGTTCTTAATGCGATTCTTATCTTATATCTCAAGTCCGGTTAACTGTTCTGAAATATTGTATGGGAACATTCTACTGTCCAATGCCTATTACGTACTTTCTCTTTGCTCGTATCATATTTCATTGTTCAATTCTATTGTCATCTCTTTCGCCTCTAAAATCAATTCATGTTACGATTAAGATATCTGATAAAATCACTGAGGTCGAAATCAATTCTAAAAAGCGAATAAACGAAGTAGTATAAATCGTTAGAATTGTGATATACGGAAACAGATGAGAGTACTATCCCCTTCGATAAGCAAAGACGGATAGTAGAATTGATGACGCCGTTACGTGAAGACTTAATTGAAACCGTTGAAAAATATCCAACGTTTAATGCTGAAACATGAAAAGACCTCGCAGGAGAGCAGGCACGGTGCTCTCTGGACCATGATCAGGCCGTACAATCGAGAGAAGGCCCGTATGCACCGTGAAATGTATGTTTGACCTAAATCTCGGTCGACCGAACGGCGGCATGCGGCGCGGTGGCTAAAACATCTGTCGGCGGGAAAAAAAGACGTTCACGATTTATCCGTGACACTCGCCGGAGCTCCTCTGGCAATCGATCCCTTTCAATCGAATCCAGTCAGGGTTACAAAACCGCACCTGACCAAACAATTTTATCCAACGGCATTCACAAAACGAAAAAATTCTTCAAGTCTCGATTCGATTGGGTCAAGTATTCGTTGATCGAACACGAATCGGAACGTTCAGAAGTAATATTGTCGCCGCGCCGCACGATCGAGAGCCAACGGGACACGCGCGTATGCGCGGTCAGGCAATTTTGAGATCACTTTCACTCTCGGCCAAGAGAGAAACTGTGAGAAGAATCACGGGTCCACCGTAACGCAGACATTTTTGGTCCGGTCGAACGGCTCCGTCTTCGATATTACGTATTTCAATGACCATTAAGTAACCATCGATGAGATAACTGCGTGCAACCTCTGGAGTACCGATGGCCTCGCACGCTTTCTGTTACAACCCGTTTACTACTTTGCTGTTCTGTTCATTAATAATCCGCTCGTAGAACCAATGCGTGACTTCGGTCTTTTCAACCACCGTTGCAAGCGTGCGAAGACTCGAGATGAGAACGTTCGTTTTAGAAATCGTGGAAAACTGATATTGTATATCCGGCCGCTTTGGCATAATTATAAAAATGATATGTTATATAGGAAGTAGACGATAAAGAATCTTTCTTTCGTATCTATAAATCATAGAGAAACGACGAAACGGAAGTCCTGCGCGTGACGGAAGAGAAAATATCAGCGATCAAGACGTTGAAGAAACGGACACGTCAATGATTGGACTTGAAATCTCACTCGCGTGAATCGAAGTAAACGAAGTGTCTTTGACAACGAAAAACTGGAAGACATTGATTTCTAATGAAGAACCTTCCGTTGAGAATTCTTATCGACGATCGCATTTCTCGCTATCGATCAGATATTTGCAAGTGCGTGGCAGATTAATTTACGATGCAGGAAACGTGGAACGATTCAATGTGAAATACGAGCGAATTCGTTTTACAGGAACTTCGCGACCCGTGTTATTTCTCTCTGAAACTTCAACACTTTCTACGCGCTTACCTGTTTCCCAATCTTTTGCGGTAAACTGCTTATGTTTTAAGCGAGAATCGGGTATAGTAAACAGGATGCGCTCGCCTGAGTCACCGTCCCTTGGCAACACCGAATTTCTCTGGTAATTAATTTTTTTCATCCGAGAGCATTGAGAAATATGAAATGGAACGCGTTCAACGATTGACCGATAGTTTAATAAAAATTTGTAACTCGTAGACACGAAAGTATGTTATTTGGTAGGCAACGAAAAAGAGACGCGGTACGTGTTCTTAATTAATAGGAAAGGAATCCGTGTTAATATGATTTAGTTAAATGTTCATTATCTTCGAATGTCTCTGAATAATTTATATCATTTTACATTGATATACATTTTAAATGAATTATTTCGTCACAACAATTGCAAAACTACGCTATTCAGACCGTGAACGATAAATAGCGTGAAAAAGTATGTGATACATTATAGTTAATCATAATAACAAATGGTATGCGATTCCTTTCAACTAACTGAGATAATTTGTCGATTAATGAGAAATAAATGTTTGCAAGTGCGTAAAATTCGTATTAAGTATTCAATAGTAAATTTATTATACGATCGATAGAGATTATTTCTAGTTTCATTGATGATTTATCGATTTCGACGTTTGAGCCGACTATCCGTACAGCTTCTTCTGGCTGAAAAAACGTGTACTTCGATTGATTTTTTATAGGAAATGCTGATGTCGAGGTCGGCGACGAATGTCGAAGCTTCACGACTGACTCTATTCATATCACAATATCTCATTTGAAACGATGTACTCTTTGATCTTTGGAAGATACTCGTCGGAACCTCAGAATAGAAACGAAATGACAAAAAGCGTAATTTGCATTTTCATGAAACGAGAAGCTAATAAAGACGCGACGAAATGATTGTTCAATTCTCCGCGATTATTGCGCGATCGCTTATTCAAACTGTACGTATTGATTAAACGTTACGACCCGGCTTGTACGATGATCGTACTTAATCGTAAAATTGAACGCTGACTCCGTTGACGTAATGGGCGACAGCTTCTCCAGCAGATAGGAGAAATATGAATAATCTTTTAAAGTTTACGATCCGGCGACCGGCGTTCTGCCCAGTCACTGGAAAGCAACATGAATAACTTGTACGTCTTTCGCTTGTCGTAAGCTCTGCTAATGAGTTCTAGCTACTGATATCTCTCGCTTGAATGAACCGCGTAACAAACTAAAACAGACTCGAATGAAACCGAACGTGAACGTCTTAATTTACTTCGGTAGTCAGCCATTCCTACCCTTGAACTTGGCTCATTAATCTATGAATACATAATATTCTTCCTGTCTATGGTCCAAATGGATATTGAGAATGTACGCACTGCAAGATGGAATTTTTTCAATACCGGACCAAACGACATATTTTTCCATGGAATGCGAGAAGACTCAGTTTACTGTACACCGCAGCGTACTTTCAACTTTCATTTTCTGTAACCGTTGTTAAAATGAATCTATGGAGTATTACCAAACAGTAGAAACCAAGGACTTTGGGAACATAACGAACGCTCCAGATTTGTTAACCGGGGAACAAAATTAGAGAACACGGTTCTCCCAATTGTTGCATCGTGCACTTAAAACCTTTCACATATTTTCTTAATAACAGTCCGGTGACTGCAAGTTGTCGCAGCTTTCGACACAAAGTGACCCTGAGACCTTCGTCTTTGCACGAGAACCCGTTTTTTCTTTTCGTCTCTTTCGAAACCTAGAAAAGTAGTTCTAGTTCCACCGGATAAAGACGATTGAATAATGTATCAAAATAGAGTCTCGAGCAATCGAACGATCAATGTCCCTTATCCGCTTTCAGTATTTGACTCGCGTCTACTTGTACCAATGAGTGACGAACGCGTGAGAAGAAGCTCCTTATTGTAATTATAATGAATCAATGAAAACCGAGCAATGCTTCGTATTGCATCAAAAGGTAATGATATACGACGAGCTCGCACGGTATAATTGATACAAGCGTTACAGAAAATTGCTGGCAAACGCACGCACGGCGGCCGTACGTACACACGATCGTCCGATATTTATTTGCATTTATCCAGTCTCGTAACTAGTGGTCAACTCAATTACGTTTTTATCATTATTCTGATTTTTTACTCTAATTCTAATATCCACATTTTGCACCTTATGTATAATTCATCGAGCAGCCGTTTGACTCTGTCGCGTTCACTTTTATTTTCATATTAACGTACATAATCCAGTAACCGAGTGTCGATAGAAAAAAAATTAAGGCGCATTTCTTAATGTACCCGTGTGGAACTCGTTATTCCTCCATTTTGCGTAACATCTGTCGAAACAGGTGAACGTTCAATTACAAAATATCATTTTAATTATCATAAAACCACGGACGATTCAGAGTTCAGAGATTAGAGGAAACGTACGAGAAATCGTTGAACAAAAACGCGTACGTAGCTGTTCTGGGTGCTAATCGTAAGCAATTTCTGCCGATCGTTGCCATTACATTCGACTTAGTGTCGTTTTTCGAATTCCGCAACGCACGGTCATCCTCAGTTTCTTTATGCGACGAGCCAGTTTTTTGAAAGTTCACGATAGTAATCTTGAAACGGTTTTCGCGTTACTTTCCTGGATAACGTTAGTTCGATGCGAGACGGTAGAAAGACGTAAAACGGTTAACCAGGAACGATCAGGCAGCTTACATAAAAGTATACAGACGTGTTAAAAGCCGCATAGTATTAAGCATTGGGTACACACAGCGGATGTAACTAGAAGCTAATTTGTGTTCAAACGCATGAAAAATGTATAAGCGATTAAGGCTGGTACAAATACTTTCAACGATCATCTTTCGTCCGCGTGTACGAATTTAAATCATTGTTTACGTTCAAAGTTTCGATAGTAATTACACAATTACATTATAAATGTATCTGCGTTCGATCAAAAGGCTGCTATGCACACTCCGATCGTGATTAGATTATTCAAATTCGTTTAATATCATTAGCTAGAGTGTTTAATTATTGCTTAATTAACGCGATGACTGTCAATGACAGCTGGACGTGACTATATGCAAAAGTGTGTCTGATCCTGATCGATGATTAGACTTAAAATGAAATCTCTATTTTGCAAACGTTACTTAAGCTTTCTAACGTTCGGTTAAGGTAAGAGTGGGAACACGTGCAGGTATCGGTGACCGACAAATCTTTGCTGTCTCCAAGTTCTCATGGTACATTCGAGGACGCATGAGGAAAGCGTACTTCAGCGGGTTAGATCAGCGATGAAACGTTTGAGAAAGGAGAGATCGGAGGATCATTTGACACCATTTGTAACTGATACTAAGTATTCATGGTCAATGAAGACTGTGTACTACATCTCGTTAGAAAGACGATTGAGCTCCTTAAACCTTTTCTAATTTTATATTTCGCATTTACCAATTGTCATTTCGTCTGTCATTAACTCGCAACTTGAACTTGTATCGTAGCCTAGGAAATTTGATTACGAAACAAGAATGAGCTCCATTAAGTGGAGCTCCGTGTAACCGACGTGGTCTCGACTGGCATTGAAATCACTCAGAGATACTATTATACGTTTCATGATATCCCGGCTTGTTAAAAATCCTAACGGACTTCTATGGGAGCCATTAGGTGAAATGAAAATATATTTGCTCACGGACTTAAAATATTTGCGTTTTAAACAGGCATTAATCATGTTCCAAAATTCGAAGAACTGTTGTTAGAAAAAGGTCCTTTGCATATTTCAGCTTTTGCTAAATTATTCTTTCCCTCATCTCCGTCCAAAACAGAGAAATAAGAATTTAACAAGAACAACAAATTGATCTCATCAGATATTCAAAAAAAGGAGAAATACCCCGATCCTTGACATGATCTACCATATTTATCCTCGACATGGTGTCTCGATCAACACATAAATTAGAGCCGATATTGAGAGGCGCAAGGTTATTAAATGCTCGTCTCGAGATGAAAATCGTTAAGAACACGAAAAATGTACGGGGATAAATCGTGCAGCGACAGCTTTCGCAGAATTTCGTTGCCCGTCCTTGAGACGAAAGTGAAATTTCCCGAAGGCGGGACTCGAAGGACGCTCAGCATCCCGAGTCAAAATCCTGTTCCATCCATTCACTGGTTTTTTAATTATAGACTTATAGACATTCCTGAGACTTTCTATATTTAGAATACATCCAAATATACGTACATGCATAATTTATTTTTTTTAGCTATTCGAGCCCACAAGAGTCAATTCGAAACTTTTACCAAGTCGTTATCGACGAGTCAATAAAATTTGTAGTAACTGTTTTTCCACGTAATTATAAACTCCGAGGAACATAAATCGTGTGCGTGAAGACCGTAACTCGCTACCAACGTTATTTTTCAACACTGCCTCGCGTTTCATATAGGAAGCTAATGCAACAATTGCCTAATGAGAATTCCAAATTTTTTATATACCCGTTCGGACGAATATTGCAACGAGAATTTTCACAACGATGTACTTTCTCGATTAATAACCAGTGTAGCACGAGCTATAAAGAAACCGGTATAATGATTTATAGCATGGATCTTGTGGTAAGGTGAACATCTTTTAGCGTTCCTTCGAAATGAGTACACAAGGTCAGCGAAGTTGCATCGATGGCCACTAATCATCCACTTTCGTCATACTATCCTACTTTTTGAATCCTATATACGATATTGATTAAAAGATCCTCAGTTCCGCTTAAAAGATCCGTCTTTAATTTCGTGATTTCACTCGAAGGCGAGCAATCAATTCGGAGATAATCACTCGTTTGGAATTAGACGTAGGTGAAGCCTGATCGAACGTTGAACATGATTCATCTCGAAACGAGATTAAGAAACAGAGATAGAAAAAGGTGAAGGGTAGAGTGTTACGTAGTAAGGATGGCCAAAGACAGTTTCTGGAAAGGTGGTTACAAATAATTGAGGACAGTTTGGTCAAGGCTGAGACCGTCGCACCGACTTAATGCCTTCAAGCTTATAGGGAGGCGCGAAGTCCCTTTTTGTGACTTGAGAATTTCATAATAGTCGTTGGAAAGAAACCTAACAGAAGTATAATGACCTTTTAATAGTGTAGTTACGTGAGGTCGAATAGTCAAGCCTGAAAGTTACAATCAATTTAACGTATACAGAATGAGCTTGCTGAATATTCTATTATTACAAACGTGAAAATGTTCGATGCCTTAATCTTAATTATTCACTCTGATTGCGACAGTGAAATTACGAAATTACCACTTATCTCGTCCTTTTCAAACAATTTGCCAGCGTTTACAACATGTGTTTACGCTGTTAACGACGCTAACGACGTTATAGTTTTATCAAGCGCGATCGTAAGAGCCAGAAAAATACCCGACGACGAAACGACATTATCAACGAATCTAGACATACGAAACGGTACGTAATGTGTGTTACGAAAGTAAGTACCTGTACTTGGCGCGATACTTCCATTCGTAGTCTACGAAATAATGTCTAAATATACATATAGAAACGTTCAACTACGTTCTTTGACAACTTTTATTGCCAGGTGAATCAACCGTTAGTCGAATCTGTTAATGGAACCTAATATTTATTTTGTGATATGTGCTAATTATTTCAAAGGTATTTAATTAAATGTAATTTTGTTATGTATTACAGGTAGATTATCAGCACTTATCATTGGTATCCTGACGCTTGTGATCGGTATCATTTTGAGCAGTTTACCATGGATGGATTATCTTATATTAAAGGTACGTCAAGTTTTTATAATCAATCTTGCATATTGTTTGCTTTTAACAATATTGAGTGGTATAACTATCTTTCTACGACGAGTTTGACATAGTATGTCAATTAGTTCCCTTCTGACGTGAAAGTATGTTATAGAGTAATAACATATGATTGCTTTCGCTCCGCTTCTGCAATGTGACTAGTGAAGAATATGATTAAAATTGTGATCAAACAACGATATTAATCATCCGTTGAATGGCAATCATTTTCTTTGATGCACGTTTCTAAGTCTAATGGCACGGTACAAGTGTACATAGATAAATCGCGGATCACTGGCATTAACAAAAACCGGAAGCTATTTTCGCGACCGGCCTTGCACTTTCTCGCGGAACGAGTTATACTTACACGTGCGCATGGTTCACACATTTCACCTGACAATATTGACTTTCGATTATGGCATCTGATTTTTGAAACCAGTCTGTTTGTGAACGTTGTTTCAAGGTACTGATTTCCGTTATCTCTAATTATATAATTCTGTTGTCTCCGGTTACGAAAATTGATGAAAAGCATGTATTCTCACGTCTCGATTCGTCAAATATCCTCCTGTTTACATGTTTCCCATACCGACGTTTACAATTGCAATGCGTTTCGCAACGATTTATAAATTAAACAAAATTCATCTGAATTTCTCACTTGTAAGCATTATTTTGTTTGTAACGACCGACTCTTTAATAAACATTACGTCCACGTTTTATCTAGTTATTATTAACGAAGGTCAGCTAGAATATTGATGTTTTATATGTTTTATAAAATGCTCGTTATATCGGACGACAATTAATAAGCGTCGTACTTGCTGCGAGATTTAATTATCGTCTAAGTAATGTTCACTTTTCGTTTTTTAGCAATTAAGATTATGGAACGGCTCTCTTGCTTTCCAATACTGGCAAAAACCGGGAGTGGTTCGGCTGACCAAAGTATACATATTCAATGTAACTAACGCGGACAATTTCTTGCACTACAACGAGAAACCAAAACTACAAGAAGTTGGCCCTTTCGTGTATAAGTATGTATTAGAGGATATGCTACTAAAAATATACTGCTGAAAATAATTTCATGGTTCTGCCTATTTAATAAAGTCTAGAAAAAGATTTAAGGATGTATTGGCTATACAGTCAATCCCAAAAGTTTATGCACTTTAGAAACGCATTTTTTAAAAAGAAATCAGACGTCGGAAGAACATTGC